TTAAGAATTACACTTAAAAAGTACATTTATCATTGTTTTTTTAAAACAAACTGCTTTACCCTGTAACTTGAAGTTGAATTTGAAGTCTGAGGTCCAGAAAGAAGCATTTGTTGTGGTTCAGTTTTATCCTTGCTTTAATTTTAATTTTCTTTTGTTTCAAACTCATCATCATATATCACCATACCCCAAAACAAAGGAAAATGAAAATGAAACCAAGGATAAAATTGAACCACAACACATTTTTATTTGTGTTATAACAGCATAAAAGTAAGTTTAAATAAATTTACAGCATACACTGCACCTGAAAAATTTACGCACCTTAAATAATGTTAGATGACTAGTCATCATTTTGGTGTCAATCGTCTGCTTTGCGTCAATTAAAGATGACACTAATTCATTGCTTGGTCTACTGTCCACCTAAAATAAAATAATGTTATCATTAAAATGCATTGTATTAATCACTAAAAGTAATTAATACAAGATACTAAATTTCATTTTTAGAAGCCAATATCTTGTATTAACTACTTTTAGCAGCATTTATGTGTTAACAAATTTTGAAATAATTAGTTTAGCTGTAGTGATAAATCTGAATTATTGCAATAACTAATTTTTAGGTAAAAGTGTTTCTCCTTGGAAATGCTAGAAGATTTTGACACTTACAGCTAAATAAAGTTTGTATGTATGTAGGTCATTCAACAATGTACAAAAATGCAATAAAGTAACTACTTTGATACATTTTGAAAAGAAAATGCCGAATCACCTGTATTGAAGATTTGGAATTTTTGCTTGCAGCCTGACTTCCACCAAGGTCAATGTACACAGCATCCTAGAAAGAAGTAGCAAGCACCAGTATGAAGTTAAATTATTGTGAAAATAGCATGCAGACCATTTAATCCAACTACTTTACAAATAAATGCAGATCCTTCTTTAACAAGAGTAAGGCTCGTTTTCATTCTGTTGGTTTGGGCCAAACAAAACGAATTAAAACCAGTTGGAAGTATGCAATTGAGTCGTAACATTGTATGTTTCTCAAAAATGATCCCTTTCAGCAAAGTAGTTAAGACACTTAAGGATGCCATGATTGAGCGAATTTTTAATTTATTATACTAAAGGGCATGGGTTTAAACAGTAAAGGAATACAGTGAATGCCATTCTTTGAATGGATAACAAATTATTTTTACCTCTTCACTTCTTAATAATAATTGTACACTGTAGCCACATTCATTCTCTTGGGTGCCTATTTTTTGAAGAGATCTTAGGAGCGAACATGATAAGAATAATTTAAGATATTTTTACCTTGTCATATACTACTCCTCCAACTCCAGACAAAGGTGCATAAATAAGGCGTTCCTTTTCATTCAGTGAACGCTTCTTTTCAGCATTTGGAAGGGGACATGGGTCAGGTAGAAGGCTTATTTCTTTGAGAGTATGATCTCCACAACCTACAAGAACATGTAAGAATATAAAGTTATACATGAACTTTATACACGAGACTATCAACAATGACACAATCTGTTACTAACAGTGTCCCATATTCATTGATATTCGTTAACTTGCAAGTGCATTTAACCACAGTAATGCATAACCTGAATTTCACACGATTACTTCGAGTCGTTTTCTCCTCTCAGCAATGTCTGTT